GGGAGCAGAAAAATGGAGTGGGTTCAGCTTCCTAGCTGCTGCTACTCAGTTATTACAAGGCTAGATCATTTCCCTGCCTCTCCCCCCACCCAATCCAATAGTAAATTTTGGATAATTTCCAAAATTTTGGATTTCAGGAATCCAGTAATTTTGGATAGATTTCCTCCGCTTTCAAAAACAATACGCACTTATTCTAGAAAAAGTACAGTACGAGAGAAAATACAGTAAATGCCATCCATACGGAGTCACCATAAAATATAGGTTAAGCAGAACTGCATATAATAACACTAAACCGTAAATCTTCGTACCACAATAAATGGCAGCAGATACTTTCACTTCTATAAATGATCAATCTCAACTCATATGACAGCTCACCAAGTATTAGGAAGAATTGTTATCCAGTGAAATTCAGTGGTTGATATAGGAAATCCTACTGTTTAATCAGTTCCAGGTTCTCACTTTCAGGTTTTAACTGCTGTAGATTATTATTTACAATTTTGTATATTTCATGCAGTCAACATTAACATACATATGTTTCTCCTATGGCAGCTTTGCAAGATAGTTATTCAACTTAAACAATTCAAGCAAAAGATCTAGCTTGCCCACCTTTACCAAGGTTATCAGAATAAGTAGGTGTTTGGCAAAATAATTATATAACTGGATTTCTCAGCATCAGAAGCAGCTTTGAAAGGATATACCGTCTTGCCTTGTACTTGACAGCTCTCAGTACCATTAATAATGCATGGAAAAAACAATGGTCACGAGACATGTCCAAAATTGTTCGCAACTAGTCACAACTGATATTTGCTGGCTTTTGTGAAGTGTACCATTGTCCCACAAAATCCCAGGGAACTGATGACGACATCAATAGTTTGGACAGAGGTGCCAAAGTCTGAACGATCATAGAGCCTCAGCATGCGTCTTGCACATAAGTGGTACACAACCAAAATTAAACAGAACACAGTAGCAGCAAAATGAGGATACTGGTATTTCCTCTACTGTTCTACACATAAATGCAACTCTTCAATTTCTAATACCATCAATCTTGTGTATTTTTAAGGGACCAAGATTTTTTTTCCTGAAGAAGTGCAGTGACAAAGCTCACCAGAATCATCCAAGAAATGTAAATGGTAGCATTAATTTGTTAGGAAAGGTATTTAAACCAAGAGTGGAAAACTAGTGAAGACCACTAGTCTATTTCTCAAAAGTCACAATGGGAAAAGTGAAATAATTGTAATGGAATACTTGTTTACAGGTAAACTTAATTCCCAAATCTACAAAAGACAACTAATAAGTTCCTTTATAAATATCCATTTTTAAAGAGTAGTTACTAAAGTTCTATGCTTAAATTATAATAAAAGATAAGACTCTGCACCACTAATGGGGGTGGGGGGATAGGGAATGATAGTACATTAAAAAGCTGTATCAAATAACTAACTCATTGCTTAGAAACAGCAGGGGGGGGGGGGGGAAATATAACAATACATGTAAAAGAGGATATGAAAAAAGGGTATAGTTACTTAGGGACCTGCAGCTAGATGGAATCTTGCCACCTGCTCTTCTCTCCAACCCCTGTAGAGTAGGCATACAGGAGCTGGAAAGGTTACTGCAGCTAAAAGGCTACAGCTCAACAACACTGGAGAGGAATTCCCTCTGTTTATTCTCCATAAGGTAAGCAATATGTGGCTTCATACTTGTGTACTGTAGTGTATGATCTAGGCCTAAGCACTGTACAGAAATAGGACATCAATTCCCCACATGTTCATATAATTAACTGTCTTCCATTGTCCTTTGTATTTTTTAGAATGTGACTGCTCTAAGATGAGGCCTTAAGAGGTTTCACACGGTCAGGAATTTGCCTCATTCATCTCAAATACATATTCTCAGCTTACTTGCAAAAAAATTGGTATCTTTTTCCTTGTAAAAAAAAGATCTGAATCCAAACTGTAACCTTTCCTTTTCATTTAGCTTTGCAAGCAAGTGTTTCACAGGTCCAATTATATAATCACTTAAATTTGTGCAGCCTCATGAACTTAAAATTATGGGTGACATGCAGTCCAATTTCCTTTATTAAACTTTCACATGCATAACCATTTAGAATTGTATAAACAATTCTGCTCAATATGCAAGTATGAGCAACTTAATTCATTCCCTCCTTGGTGAATTTATAAGTACATACACATGAAAAATAGTAAAAAATACATTTTTGTCATTTTAGGTAATATCAATAACCCACAATAAACAGGGGAATAAAGTCAGCCGAGTAAGAAATTGTTATTTCTACAGAAATTTCTGAGAGTTAAGACTTCACTTGAGATGCTGTTCACCAATTTCAATTGTGGATACTGTTGCACAAAACAAGCAAAATTATGTAATGGTTAGCATTACAGCAGCTCCAGTTGTAATTTGTCAGATACCTTGAACCCCCTCTACTGGTTTATTCTGCTGTTACATAATGTTTTCAATCAGTGTTTTGCAACATGGTTGTTTAAAACCAATTCTCCACCAAATGATATATAATTCAAGGTGCTCAAATGCTGTATTTGCTTAAAAGAATACTACCAAGTTCATCAATCCAAAAGTTAGACTGTCATGGATGTAGTTATACTTGCATACATTACCTTGTACCATTATAGCTTAGTCCCAAAAAGAGCAATCTGTTATATGGTACAAATATATTTATGATGGTATATAACTAGAGTACATACAAGGAACATGGGGACCAACTGCGTTAATTATGCCTGTATAATTACACCAGTAGAACTTCCACATACAGGTAAACCCTAAAGTTTCACTGTTCCTTTTATAAACCTGCTCCTCTTCCCATTTATAAAGAACATACAACAACGGATGGGAGCAAACCAAATCTGACACGCGTTCAGGTCAGTTGTATTATCTATAGCTTCTTCTAACTTTTAAAAGTAAACTTAAAATGGATCACTCTGTTGTAGAATGAGATAATTTGTGATCTGCTCAAAATCTCCCTTATTTCAAACCCAGTGATCACAACCTACCAGAAGAAAGTGAATGCTGAACGTTGTTGAGATACCTGCCCAGAAGACTGGCTGCAATTTAATTAACACACTTCATTTTCATGCAAGCAATTTCCTACCAAAAATGTAAGCCCAATAATTTGTACTAGCCGATACATTCTCAGTGTCAATGTGCACAACACTGAAGATATGAGGATATAAAGATATATTTTAAAACAGGGGTGGCTCAACCCCTGCCCTGTAGGTTAACACAGCACCAGGGACCAGACTTATCTGGCCCACAGGATTCCCCATAGGTCTGACTATTTGATGGCAGAGGAGCATGACACTGCTCCCCTGCTGCCAAATTTCTAGACCTCCGAGGGGCCTCACAGGCCAGAAAACATGGCTCTGCAAGCTGCAGCAGGTATGCAAGGCCCCGATTGCAGCACAGTCTGACCCCAGTGTGTAGGGGCCAGCCAAAGCTGTAAGGGGCCCAATCTGGCCCACAGGGACAAAAGTTTGAGCATTGCTGTTTTGAAATAATTATATAGAACTCCCTCTCTCATCTGGTTTCTCCAGCTCCACTGCTAAAGTCTTAAATGTTCACGGAGCTACATTCCTTACATACTGCTTTACAAGTTAATGATTCTGCTAAAAGTACTGAAAAAATAAGGTACCTGAATTGTGGTGTTGGCAGATTAAAAGCTACCACCCTCCCCACCCACCTTTTTCTTTAACTTTTGGGTCACCTTCCAAAAAACACATGTAATTTTAAGTCAACTCATACCCTGTTACACGTACCTGTCAGACAATTAAATAAATGGAGTCCACATGGTGAAAAGAGATTAAAAGCTAATAAAACTTGAGGAGTTGAAACATATTCTGTTTTAAATAAACTAATTTAAGTGAAAAAAAAAAACGCTTATTTTTCAAGTTTTCTGCATTCCTGTTAGACAAACCTAAACTGCTTTAAATAAAAATAAGACAGGAGTTTTAATCAACATAAATCAAAGTGTTCGATAGAGAAAACAAGCAAGTTACAGCTCCTTAATTAGCTACTATGGTAAAGTAATATTTTAATTCCCCAACCACAGCAAGCTATGACAGAACTCAATAAAAATTCTTTGAGGCCATTAAAAATAAATTTCCAAGTTTATTTATTTCCCCTTGACTAGTTTCATAATACAGTATCTTTTTAGCAGCAATCAGGGATCAAGATTCCCAAGTTCCATTTCTAATCTTGTTGCTCATTTGCTCCATGATCTTACTTAACCAGTACTTTAGTATAAGTATAGTACCACCTCCGTAAAACAATTGGAGATCTTCAGGTAAACGGCATAGATTTTAGTGGCAACTTCACAGCTACTAGTTCCTAAGTGAGCATGTAACCAACCAGGTAGTTTGTGCTGGCAGATCATCAGAAACACAAGGGCTATACTTTATTAAAAAATAAACAAGCAAGCAACTTCACCCTCTTATTTAAGTTTGAAGTATACCCCACAGGTCCCACTAGTAGTACAACCAGGTCAACAGGACAAAGGCAGAACTCTACCTCTAAGCACTTACTGCCCATAAATGTTTAAGTTCCCTTGAGTGATACACATGGGATAAAATATGTGCTTCTGCACTTTACCACTTGCACCTGTAAAGAAAAAGAGATCTGTTGCATTCCCCACATGCAAACAGCTGCCTTCACCTTCTTCCAAGCTCTCACAGTAGGATAAATGTGTGAGAAGGGGGAAGAGGTGGACAAATGTCCCATCCCTCAAGACCAGTAGAAGTTTGCAGTATAGGAAGGAGCTGGGTGCGGTTCGATGAAGAAGTATTCATTGACAAGTTGGGGATATAATACTCACCTGGGGGATGACGGGCTGTGTCCTTCCTGCCTTGGTGCCAATACCTACCTTACCAGGGTGGGGCTGGCACAGAAGAGGCTGTAGCGAAAGAGGGAGGGGCAGCCTGCGCCCCCTCCCTGCTGGCGAGGCTGCGCCCGCTCCTGCCTGTCTCAGCTTGAGGGATACTTACCCGTCGGGGATAGTGTTCTTCTTTACCATGCTGAAAGCGGGAGCAGCAAGAGCAGGAGGCAACGGTGAAAGTGGGCACTGCAGCAAAGGAGAGAGAACCCCGCGGTTAACACCCTGCCCAGCTCGCGCTCCCTTCTCACGGGCGCGGGGCTGGCCCCACGCGCGAGCAGCGCAGCGCAGCGCAGCGCAGCCTGGGACGGGCCGTCCCCATTGTCCCTCTGCTGCACTGGAACACGGGGAGAGAAGCAGCCTCGCCCGCGCCCCGCGGCCTCCAGGCGGGGGTGAGGAAGATCCGCCACGATCTTCCCGCGGCCTGGGGCAGGGCCCGGCCTCCCGCGGAGGCGAGAGCA